CCACCAACGCTCGCTCACTCATTTCGCACTCTATGCTCGTTCGTAACGTGTGCCCGGCCTCGGGTACCTCGCTCATTAGGCGCGAAGAAGAAAGAGACGACGAGGACAGGCCGCGGGGGGGATGAACGGGGCTAGTAAATGAAGCATTTCGCGCTCTCCACTATTTCCCCATTCATCCTGATAGGTGTGAAAACGGCCGCATTACGCTCGCCGCCCCGGAACGAATCTTCGCGCCGGCGAATCTACCGAGAATAGGTGGAAACGATTTACCGGATGGACTCGCTGACTTGCTCGCTCGCTCGCCCGCTCGCTAGCCGTCTTTGGGGGAACGGATTCGACGCCGTGATCGTGCGAGATATTACCCGGGATCTGGGTCGTTTAGATTGAGAGAAAATGTGTCCGCGGATACGCCGGACTTGTAACAGGCAACCGGAGTTTCTACGGCGAGGTCTCGGGGATTGTTTCGCGGAAAGGTCGAGAGACTTCGGGTCGGTTATCCCGTTTGCATGTGCGCGTATTGGATCTTCTGGCGAAGTTCGCGATGGGAAATGGATGATGCGCAGTTATTGAAGATTGGACTGTGCGCGATTAAGTCGCAGATGGTTTTTAGAACTTCTGGAGCAGGTTTCCGGGAGCTGAACGTCGAGATTGGTTCAGAGTTGAGATTTCAGAATCAGAGATGTTGTATTGAAGTAAGGAAGAGAGAATAATGATTGATTTAATGGACGACGCGGCGAAGGAAAGACGTGTAGTTCTGTCTTTCGTTAACCAAAGAACGTTCGCCACCGATGGATGAGGTAATTACAATGGTGGCCGATCCGGAAAGGTGACACGGGCGCAGCAAAGTTCGCCCCGAAGGTGGTGCGAGGGCTGATCGACGGAGAAGGTGGCGCAGGTCGGAGGAGGAGGAGATTAGGGCAAAGAGAAACCGCAGCGTAGCTTCAAAGAGGTCTTGCCAGCCAGGGGCGCGTCTACTTAACTTTGATCAGGTCGAGACCGCTGATGCGAGACGAGCCACGCAGAAATAAAGTGGCTGCCGACCTTCCCGCCTTTTTGCATCTCGAAATATCGCCCTCCAGTGTTCCCAGAAATCCCCAATTCCCCTATGAAAATTCCTATCGTGAAGCCTGGAGAACTACAATTGCTACGAACCAGATTCGAAAATCTCTGGTACCCTCTAATATCAAAGCAAACATCTACACTACATATCTTCAATGATTAAAATTCTTTTAACTCCTCGGTCACTGCACACTCTCACGGTAATTGTTCACTAAATAATTCTACAACAGAGGAAACGTCAAAACAATAGACAAATTCTAGCATGGATTCTTCATACACCAAGTTTAGTTAACCGAGAAACGAAGGAACAGATCGAGGCCTCCGATTTCCAAGCAGCAATAATCGAAATAATGGAAATCGGCGATGTTAACGTTCTGGGAACCAGGGAAATTCCTTCGGAAAGCCGGCGGGCAAGGCGAAGAGAACACAAGGAGACCACGGTCGGAGGACACTTTTGCCTCGTGCTTGGGTAGATGCAACGGTGCATCCCGTGGCGGGGATCAGCGACGAGAAGAGATGGAAACGGCAGGTTGAATGTCGTTATTACGTTGAATTAGAGGGTGCAGAGCCGGAACGAGGTATGAAACTATTACCTCGCGAAACGGCGGACCTCTCTCTCTCTTTCTCCATCCCTTCCTCCTCCTCCTTCGCCTCTTCTTCGCTCTCCTCGCCGCGAGGGTGGGGTTGGTGCGTAGTTTCGAGTCGCTGTTCCACGAGCCACGAGGATGCTCGCCGTTCAGCGAGAGATGATGATGATACCCGAGGAAGATCCGCGATCAAACAGTATGGAGCAAACAGACCGGAAGACGAACGTTTGTCATCCGAACGCGCTGTTGCTCGTCTCGAATTCGACGATGTAATCAATTAGCGGAGCGAAACAGAGTTCCCTGGCTGGCGATCTTTCACTTGGCGCAGGGGAGTTTTAATTGGTACGTTTTCTCCTTCACAAACGTGGCGAAACGTTTCGAGGAATCGATGCCCAGAGTGACAGGTTTCACCCCGATCGAACGGATGTTGCTATTTTTGAACTGACTACAGAGCATTTGTGTCCGCCAGTGTAGCTTCGTGGACACCGGAGTTCATACATATTAATCGTTTTCCTCGCTGTATTGTGATTGATACAGCTAATAAAGCAACATTTTCACAACGATCGAGTATTATCTTGAGCAACTCTCACTCGAGTCATTGGGAAAAAGTGTGCCAGGAGTTTCAACATTCTCGATCAGTTCCGACGAGAATAAACATCGAAGCGTGGACCTTAACGAGTTTCTATTTAATTTAATTGGCACGGAATCGATCGCCCAGGTGATCGGGCGTACACGACCGGCCCAAAGTGACGGTAGAAGGAACAAGACTCACCGCCGTGTTGAGGGCTGTGCTTGTAGCAATCCTGATGAGCCGAGGAGCCGCCGGTAGCCCCGAGGTGTGTACTGGAAGCGGGCGATGCGGTTGGGTCGGTGTTGTTGGGGTTGGTGCAGGCACCACTAACCGAATTCGCGGTGACGTTGTTGCCAATGTGATGCTTATTCCTACGGTACGGCTCCGGATCACGTAGGTAGGGGGTGAACGGGCTCGGCGCGTCGGGGAAGGTCCCTCTTGGCAGTCCAGGAACTCGAGGCAGTGCGGGAACTCGCGCCAGGCCCGGGATATGTGTTTGCCCTGGAAAAGAACATAGACTCTCGTTAAGATATCTAAAATCCGAAGCCAATCTGACTGATTCTCACTGAGGTCTAAGCGAAGGAAACCCTTAACCTATAACCTGGAAATATTTAACACTAAAACTTACGAGTCAAAATGACCGATTCCTGATTTCTTCATTTTGCAATTATTAAAAAGATAACAGATGTTTCTTTAAGAAATTAAAGAAATGATTTAGCAATACGCAAACTGAAGTATAAATCAATTAAAGTCTCGATAGATACACTCTTAAAGTTTCTATGGAATTTCAGAGAGTCAATGTAACTGCTCGGTAAGTTTAATGTTAAATCGAACTAGGAATTTTGCAGGTTCAAGTCTACCCTTTGAACTAATCATTTTTGTGATCATTAATGCTAGTAAGGAGGTAAGGTATAAGGTTTCTAATAGGATTTTAATTACTTATGTCTTGAGGAGGATTCTAGCGGATGCGAACAGTGAAATCAGTGAATCATCGGTCAGACGAGCAGCTTTGAATCGAATCCACCCCGAAATTCGACTTCTTCCGATCATAATCGCGATCTGAACGAAAAGCATGGGACGGTGACCGGCGGCTAAGGGAAGATGTTTGTGCAATTAGCCCGGCAGAGTAGGATAATGAAGAAACTCGAGCAATCCCCGTGTCTCAATCGGCTTCAATAGCATTCCTCGCACATTCCGGGCACGACGGACTGATAGAACACCGGGGCCAAGTATCGCCTGCGCCTACATAGTGCGCCGGACACGGCGATTCGCTATTGCGTCGGATCGCAATATGCGTGTAACGCGTATCGTTATACGGCGATGCACATTATGCGCCACGTGCATAATCTCGAATGGTTGCATAATCATCGGACAGTATATTTAGCGGGAAGATGGCTCCGCTGTGTAACCGTTTCGTGTAGCTGTTCAAAGGTTTTTCGTTCGAAAATTCTGCTATATTACACCGAAAACACTGAAACATCTCTATCGTCCTGTGTCTAGTCTATAAAACCGTTAATCACACATCTAAAACTAACATTTCTAATACCAACGGAACAACAGAATCTCGACTCCTCGATCCTTTTATATACTAATATCAATCAAACCTGGTTTCGTTCAATTCCGTCACAACCACCAGTGATTTCAACGTAACAGTCGCAGCTGACAGTCCCCAAACTTTCCGACTGTCGTTGTATTTGCATATCGATGTCTCCTGACGTCGATCAAGGGAAGTAGCCCGTCGTGTCCCTCTCCTCTCCCGTCGGGAACAGGGCCGATAGTCGTCGTGTGGAAGCCAAGAATGGGAGCCGAGGCGCAAATTGTTATTCCAGCGTCGAGAAGGAACCGGGACGAGGCAGACGTGGCAAGAAGGTACCAAAGATAAAGAGAGAAAATCAACCAGTGAAGGAGAGAGGAGGAAAGCGAAGGAAAGGGAGACTTCGGCCACGAGGGCGAACGACAAATAAAGTTCGACCGCAAACTGCACGAAATTGTCGGCGAGCCCAGATGGTCAGCTCCGGTACGCCAACCGATGCCTACAAGATTATTCCTCGCTACCGACTACCACGATCGCCCGCCAGCAGAAACAAGGGAGCTCTCTGTTCAGCTCCGCGACCGGATCCCACGACTTCTCACGTACCGGACGCTCGTAATGCCCCCCAAACGTACCCCGGCCGCCTGCCCGCGTCCGACACTCTTTTTCGATACCTCCGTGTTTCCATTCAAGAGAAGCAAACCAGAATGGGAGTGTACAGCGACGGATAATTCCTCTTCCGTACCGTGGAACGCTCGGGGAACGCTTCGTTCCTCCTGGCGGTCCTATTAGATCCATCGGCCGAGCCCGTTTCCCTGTGCCGCTTCAGGATACAACGTTTCGAGTACAGAAATCGTTGGTGAGTTTAGGGTATAACCTACTAGTAACTTTGTTCGTTAGATCCCATAGAATGCTTTCAAGATTAGAATCTGTGGCAAGTTTAGGATATATTCTAACGACTCGTTAGGGTTTCGCAATCTGACTTTCAGTATCTTCGATTTCGAGTCATTTCGATCGATTGAAGAGTAAAATACATTATTGCTTAACGAGCAATTAAGAGGATTTGCCCGAGATTCTAGAAATACACTTTTCCCAACGATTAACTTGATTGTTTCTTTATTTCCATCTTCCGAGTAGAAATAATACCGTGACTATGCGAAGGAATAAGTATTGACGTCGAGCATTGTTATATTAATAGATATAAACGATCGTCGTAATAGCCAAACTAGTCACAAACTAATTGGCCAAGGTATCGGGAAATATACCTGCCACCCGAATCGAGAGGCGGAAAGGCGGTTGATTACAATAAACAAGAACGAACGTGATATAACACCTTCGCCGATTGCCCCTTATGGTGTCGTGGAATGGTTGGTGAAACGGAGAGAGAGAGGGAACGAGAGAGAGGAATAATTCCAATCTCCGCAGCACGAATGGTGGGCTTATCTAATCAAAGTGTGACGGCCCCGGAGGACGGAAATAGCGCGGCTTTTTCCTCCTCTCTAATAACGGGCCCCTCCCTCCGCTCGTCTTACGTCCTCCTTAACGCCAGGGTCTGGCCAGCATTTTCGAGTATTTCGCTCGTTGGTTCGAACAATTTTTTTCTTATTCGCTACGGAACAATTGTAAAAAGGCGAGATGTCTCCACTTCACGGCTAGAAGTTTCTCTCGATAATTCTACCTCAGAGGATTTCACTGTTCTTTACAGTAAATTCAAGCTGAATTTTTAAGTTAGATGGGAATTTGACGATTCTCACCGCTGTTTTCCGTTATACGCACAGACCGAACTGCCATTTCGGTAGAAAAATAACGGAGTGCTTAGTAGGATTGATGAAAACGCTGCTGCAGTCGAAGAATAAATTTTTTCGTACGAAAAACGAACGGTTTCTCTTCTATTTTACTGTTCGATGCTTTCTTCGAGCGTGACTCGAAATAATTCCATAGCGATTCGCGAATGAACGGGCCGAAGCCTGCCATTTGCGAGTCCATCAAGAGGTGTCGCCGAGCGTCCTTTAATCAGAATTTTTGAGAAGCTAATCGAACCGAGACTCCGCGGCGCCTTCTGGCGCCCGAAAAGATGTCTACGGAATTTTATCAATTCTTCTGCGACCAGGAGAACTCACGACGCTCAACGTTTCAATCTACATTCTACGGAGTGATTCTTTCTCTATAGATTGTCTACAGAACGGCGATTGTTGGCAAATTGTTTGCACTGTCGTTTCGTGTTGCGACGTCGATCTATCGGCGTACAAAATTCATGGTTCCGGCAAACAGTTGTTTTTCCATCGAGGGTTCCAGGGGTTCGTTCAATTTTAACTTTTTCATCGGCAATATCGTCAGCGGCATTCGATCGTTTGCCCCGGACACGGAATTAAGCTGATTTTTTGGCAGCGCAATTTCGACTCCCATGCGACCCCTTAAATCCAGATGCCAACGGATTTCGGGCGTTTTCTATGAAAGCCAGAAATCATTTCGCGACCTACCCGTATTCTCTCTAATCTGCATTCCAAACGCGGGCCAATTACCAGCCAAGCAAATTCAATTTCGGAGTTTGACTGACAACTGCTGTCCGTCGATATTACGCGACCGACGGGCGTTTCCATGATTTTCGGTTACGTTGTCGGGCCACTTTGTTTCGCGATGCCTTCCATCGTTCCCTCAGTTCCTTTGAAAAATGAACATGGATTCCTCTTAACAGGACTTTCACGAGGCATTCTAATATCAGCGACTAACAACGAAAATTTCTAACTGTAACGAGTTTGATCCTGATTTTCAAACCATATCGTCTTCGACAGAAAGCTCCCAATTAACGAGGACACAAAACTCTCCCTCATCTATATGAAGCAAGTCTCCATTCAGCACTGACAAACTTCTTTCACTCTACAAACGGTTCCAGTCAGTCAATTCCAGCCTAACGCCACTAATCCAATTATTCCTATAGTCAATCCTATCAGTTCCAACGAGAAAAATGTAAACTTCCTCGACACACCTCAGAAATCATCAACCACTGAAAGTCTCCATTAACCAAACTCTAAATCCTCGATTACTCTGAATCCCTACAATCTTCCTAATCAGTCCTCATAACAAAATCCTCGAATCACTCGAACGACTCGAAATACACAAGCTCTCGGTTCAGACCCGAAACTCCTTCGGCAAGTCCCCGAAAATGGTTTCCGGTGGTCGAATCGCGGCCCGTTAATCTGGTCACGCTCCAGGCCGTTTTATCCGCCGCGGTATTTACACGGGGCAGTAGTCGAATTACAGAAATTGCACGATTACCGGGCCTCCGGTCCCGAAACAGCCGTTCTCGTGTCTCGTAGAGAGCGGGAAGGGTGCGCTAGGCGATCGCGGGGCCACGGGACGCCGATGGGTGGTGGTAATTTTCGATAACAAAAAGCTCACGATTATCCATGCAATAATGATAGCCGGCAGGTGTCTGCGTAGCTGTGCGCCCGTGAGCACAATGAAAGCGCCGGTTGTTTTGCCCGACGGCGGCGGCGGCGGCGGGCCGTACGCTCTCGCCGGTCGTTACATAAATTGTCCCTGGTGCGTGCCAAGCCGAGGAGACACGCCACTTCTACCCGAAAAGCCCCGTGTATGCAATATGTCGTGATGCGTGTCCCATTCGACAGGAGCCCCGGGGCCCGTGCACTACGCGACACACCGCCGGCCCCTTTCATTCGACCGTCGGAATTAAATCGACCGGCGGCGTTTCCAGTCTGGGACCATCCTCGGTCTCGCGCCTCGGCTGCCAACGTTTCCGTGTGGCCATTATTAGCGCTCGTCCGACACCGTTCTTTTCCCTTTTTATACCGTCTTTCCTCGTCCTTCTCGGACTAACCGTGAACGGATCTCCCCGTAACAGAAATCGTTCGCAGCGATGAATAGCGAGCTCGGAGAGATTCAAGGGTTTATCTTGCATCTGGAGCCCCACGGGTAATCGCGGCCATGGGAGTGTCGCTGCACTTTCCTCGGTTTTGACTTGAGTGAGAAGTCTTGAGTCGCAAATGGGGAGTTTCAACGCCAGATGACCACTCGCGGATGGTTACAGATTACGGTTTCCAGTATTTTGTACGAGTGAGGGAATGTCGTGGGGCTTGTTTTAGTGGGACTGTGCCTGTTCTCATGGGAATAACTGGGTTATTTTTGTGTTGCATATTTTGTAGAATTAATAAATGATATGAAATTTCGTAGATTAGTGTAGCAATGTTTTTAACTCTCAACGATCGTCGCGAATAGTTTCCTAATAATTCGACAAAAGTTTTCGAGAGTATCGTTTCTCCGACCGACCAGAAAAAAAGGAATTTTATTACGCCGCCGCGGTCCGCGATATTTCCATTCGGTCGAAAAATATCGTTTTTCTTGTTTGGATATTTCGGGAAACGGGAGCGCTTCGGCCGCGCGAACGCGACCGATCGGGAAAACCTGAGCCGGCGGTGTTAACGCGTAAATAGTTCACAATTAAGCTCGTAGCGCCGTGAAACTTTAATTCGATGGTTAAACGCGGCCTCGGCGACCGCTGGAAAATTGACGAATATTATACATTTCTCTGTTCGCCGGCCAGCGGGAGGGAAAAAGAGAGATAGCGGAGGGGGTGGACGGAG